GGCTAACAAGAGTGATTTATATAAGTTGAAATAACTTGTTTCATAATTGTTGTAAAAGAAATTTAGTTTAAATTTGACATGTTTTTGTATACCCTTGCTCTTTCGAAGCAAACTTATTTTGCCACATATTGCAGAGTAAACTTAAGCAAGTACAATTTCTAAAATTGCAATTCTTATTACATATTATCATCTTGTTAAGCTAGAGTACTAGAATTTTGAGGACATTCTAATATTTGCAATTCGAAGTTTCCAAATTCCACTTTGTTTCATTAGTGCTTCCTACGACCATCTTCTTAGCTTGAACGGTCATAACCAAATGCTTAAATTAGTATTCGATGCAACTATTTTTATGTTGAAGTATTTCACACTTAGTCACCTATCAAAACTTCAAATGGAACACATTTTGTGAACTTTACAAGACAAGAATAGGACGTCTCATAACTCGATGACTCTTATTTTTAAACATTAACTTGGCTAATCAGTGCATAATTCAAATATATAACGTGTTGTTCATTTAAGGATTGACCTGCATTTTGCCGGCATATACGCTAGTATGAACGCAGTTGGTAACGAACATATTCTATGGTGCGCGTTAGCGCTCCATAAAAAACATGTTCGTTGCCATCTGCGTTCATACTACCGTATACACCCTCAAAATGCAGGTCAATCCTTATATTTACATCATAAATAATGTTTTAATCCTATACAAAGAAAAATCTATTCGAAGCGGGTTGCTACGATGGTAACTACGGTAGCCGTTGTTGCAAGGATAATATAATTCCAGTGAATCTACATCGATATATTGGTGAATTTAGAAAAAAATAGTGAACAACACTTTTTTTCTTAACTTCATCGCTTGTGATTTTTTAATTAAGTAATATTAGTAGCACTTCGAACATATTTATTTATTTAAAACGGTCGTTATGTACATGCTTTGACACACTGCTCTGATAGTGACGCGGTCGAACGTCGCAAAAGGAGGCCGCAATTGTTTGCTTTAGCGTCAAAGAATTTTAAATGTGCATCTATGGAATAAGAAGTTTGCCAGCACCCAGTTGTTGCAAAATCAAACATAATGGATCTCAAATAGGAACCAAACAATGGCTGTCATCGAACTGTTATCGCGCTGAAGCGTGAACGGCGCCATTTTTGAACCAGATATCAATCCGCCGAGCTTTTTTTCAGTGCGTATACGCTAATATTTGTACGCAGTCAGAGTTTACTAAGCTGAAGAAGGGAGAGATGTAAATATATAAAAGTGTTACAGTATGATATCAGAATGTTCATATGAATTATTTTACTATATGATATCACACTTATTTTGTCTTTGAACTTTAATACAAAGAACACCTACCTTCAAAGACACAGCGATTCCCATCATCAAATGATGCAATGGATGATTGGGAACGTTCATAAAAGTGTCCGTAACAGCAATAAATAAGAAATATTAATATATGTTTTTTTTCCATTTTATGACAAAAATACAAATTAGCGGTGTTTAATCCGTCTTGCAGTGTGTCATAAACGAGTGTTGCTCCGGACACGCCTTTCGTCTGAAGTTGGAAAAGCGATGCCTTCAGGTGGAGTAAGTGTTTATGTTATAATTTGATACTGTAAGAAACTCCAGTATTTATATCTCTCGGGGTGTTCAGCACATGTTACTAGTACTAAGAACAGCATCTGTGCGCTATCCTACCTATACAGAACCGTAACCTGTGACCACTTATCATCTAACTAACCGTCTAGGCCGCTTTAGTCATCGGGTCTCGGCCGGATTTACGAATAGTATATATTGCATGTCTGAAGGTCAAATAATTGTTTATTACTCAGTAATTTGAAATGTTTTAGTGAAAATTGAAATATGAGTTTGAAATAATTAATTTGAAGTTGTAAGTTCTGCAATATCTGAGTGAAACCAAAACAGGCAAGAAAACGAAAGATAATATCATGATTTACCTCTCTGAAATTTTTTTCGGTCATTAAAATGAAATTATATAATTCAAAACCCTATTGCCCTTTCTGGAGGTAAACAAAATAAATAATCAAGACTAATGGACCATTTGGCGAATAATCCTAAACACACAATAACTGTCGCAATTGTTTAGAAATAAATTACCAAAATTAGAGTATAGAATGATTTCTATTAATGATAACAGAAACTGTGTGAGCGTAAAAATGGTGTTTGGTACGTGAACTTTTATGTTTTTTTAAGAAGAAAATAGAATTCGTGAAAAACACGATAAATTACGGAAAGATGAACGAACTAAGCTTCTTTGAAATGGTTTTAAATGTTTTACAAGTGTTTAGGATATTTTAAACTTAATGATTATCTGTCTGGTAAATCAATCTGTTGAAGTGCCATATATTACACTTTAATACCTAAACATGTAAAAAAGATCATGGCTAACGTCTACGGCTGAAATGGTTGCAGCATGTTTGCCGAGCACACCATTGATAGCGATGATTGCACGAGCTCCATGTCATTATCGTTTATTTTTATATTTCTTATACAGATGACGTTCATCTTTATGACTTCATCCTTGAAAGTGAAGACTGTCAGTAACTTCATAACGTCAAGGACAAGCCTGGCACGAGCGAGGGGGTACCACGAATAACGCGAGCCGACACCGGGCTGTAGTTTACGGCTACGTATGATAGCTCCTGGCACAGCGCTTAGGCTGCTGTCTTCATCCCATGAGTTGCACGCGCTATATTACCAGATGGATTACACGCGTAACAATATTTAATTATGGCGCTAATCCACCCACCAGACAGAGCATTGAACGGTTTACGCAATTTGTTTTTACTCTGCACGATAACAACTGCAACAATAAGGATGCATTGGTTTCCGTTACTTGTTTCCCGCCAATTCTGACCGACTGAAGAATTAAATACCTGCAAAATATATTAATTTAAATACCGGCTCCGATACGATCCCCGAACGTGCATAATGCACGTGTAGATTTATTTGAACAGTCTTTTTTATGTTTAGATGTTCGAGCATATTTCATAAATTATTTGTCGAAATTTGACATTTTGGGCTCATTTACTTACATTGAATACACTGACACGGGGTGAATTACTGAAGTGTAATCTATGTATCTACTCTGTAAATGAATGCTTGCATAATAATGGTTTCACCATATCGCACTAGTACTGAGTATGATTAGTATAAGTCAATGGTTTTTGTAAATATAAAAAATAAAATTCACACGATATTATTTTGTAGGTGCTTACAGGTAATCATTTCAACCCGAGACCTCCAACTAACAGTTCGAGAGGCTGATATGGGTCGAGAGATGATACAGGTTCGAGGGGCTGATATGGGTCGAGAGATGATACGGGTTCGAGGGGCTGATATGGGTCGAGAGATGAAACGGGTTCGAGGGGCTAATATGGGTCGAGAGATGATACGGGTTCGAGGGGCTGATATGGGTCGAGAGATGATACGGGTTCGAGGGGCTGAAATGGGTCGATAGATGATACGGGGAAGAATACGGAAATGGTCATACTATTACCTTTTTATGGCAGACTAAATTGCAGATATTTTAGTACGACATCGAAATTATAATTAAATAACACAAATTGAATGTATTTTAGACGTTATTATTATGAAATGTGATGAACCGGAAGTAAAACGAATATGGCGCGTGCTTGGCAGATATGGCTCGCCGGGTAGATATTGGTCGGTCTGGGATATGGCCTACGTACAGGTAGGCAATATCACACATGCAAAAAATCCAGATCACAGACAATTATATGACGTAAAATATTATCTTGTACTTACATCATATTAACTTGTACTTACAGCATATTATCTTGTACATTGTAGGTACCACTTATCATCTCATATGTATAATTTACTATAGTGTACGTAAAAACTAAATTAGTTTATACTGTGACCCTTATACGCTGCTGTAGGCCTACCGTATTTCATTTTTTAAATATATAAAGGGTTTATCGCTCCCTACCTTTATTGTAGGATTTTCTTTCACTTAGAATACAGCTTCTATATTAATAGAAATATTTCGGTCTCTTAATCATACCACAAAGTCCCTAATACATCCCACAGATTCGTAAACACACAACAATGATTCCTTGAATCTAATGCCTGTTACAGCAACTACTTTCCCTCGTTTCGACTTGAGATTTGAACGAAGACCTTGACCTTAACGAATTAATATCCTTCTTCCGGTTAAGCAGCTGGTTGGACAAATGTTTGTGGACGTTAAGCCGAGTATGTAGCGAGCTCTTGTTTTTGTTTACAGATTATTGGGATATCCCCTTTTAACGCGTATATATATATTCCCATGTATATTGTAGTAACGTATAATCTGCCCTGATTTACTCTAACTGAAGCAGATCCAAGTATCACTGCTGGTTCCTTCGGCCATACAATGTGAAGTACGCGCTTAAAACCCATCTGCAACTGCATCACGTGAGCACTGCACGTGCAAACGTACGTGTTGAGAGAACGAGCCCAGGCGTCCGACTGCACAAACAATCACACCCATACAATACCGGATATATAAACGAGTCTTCCGTGAGTCATTACGTACCTAACACAGGAGGGAGGACACAGCAGTCCAACATATAACCATGCATCACCAAGGCTATTATATCACAAAGGAAATGTTTCACGTATTTGTACATCTTGTTTATCACTATGTATATTAACTATGAATTGATTGTGAATTGCATTGATTAGTAATGGTGCATTTTCAGATAGGACCTCTTGAACTTATTTGTCAGGGGGTTCGAAATGGAAATTGACTAATCACGCAAATATTTTTTAAAAAGATATAATAAAAAATAAGGTTTTTCAATAAAACTGTCTCTTAGTTTTATTTTGGAATAAAACTGTTATAACCGATAACGTGATACTCATTGTCCTTTCCTGGTGTCGACACGTCGATCCAATCCAAAGAACGCAAGAGTTATTTCCCTTTATACCGCTTCATACATGTATGTTTCAAGAATTATTAACATGAACAAGAAAATGTTATTCTCTTTCTTTATTCTCTCAAAATACTAGCGCTTTTACGTTTTTCGACACGAAATTCTCAATAAAAGATATGATTAAACCAGATTAAGACCTGCCTAGGTGCACCAAATATTTACAAAGGACCTCGTACCAATGCCAAAGCTGTGACTAAGAATTGGAAACATTATACCTGAATGACATGGCTTTAATAAATAATTTCTGTAAAGAAACGATACCTTGCGGAACTCTAATGGGGCCAGGGCAGAATTCGAACCTTAGACCTCCGTCACTATACAGTCGCCCTGACCAACATAGGTAGTTCACTTTGCCAATTTTTGAAGACATCTTAGGGCATTTTATCCATGCTTCCTGCATATTTGGTCTGAAGAAGAAGATTTATGAAATGTTAGCCAATTTTCCCTTTTGGGTCCCGCTCCTCTGGCAAAAGGGGGGTCAATATCGCTTTTAATTTTCAAACCATTAAACTGCGATCATATGATATTATTCAAATAAAGTTTTTATTACTTTCCGCATTAAATAAACCCTAAAGTAGTATTTCCCTACTCAGTCCCCTGAGGTCAGATCCATATATTTCACAATAATAGTTTGGTTCGAATTCGTCCTTTGAACTTTCATACAAAATTTTATTGAAATCTGTTCAGTGGTTTTGGAGAAGAAGTCAACAATGTGAATGTTTACGAACTCACGATGCACGACGGCGGACAAAAGGCGATCACAAAAGGTCAACTGAGACTTTGTCTAAAGTGACCCTAATTCCCTAGTGTGTGCTTGCAGTGTGACAGTGATTCTTAATGGGAGGACTTTAGCAATGGCGACATTTCACTTAAAATTCGTCATCCTGATAAAATAAAGTCGCTGAATTCATATTTAAGATGATAATGATATTTGAACTAAAATACTAGACCAGGACACTACAGAAAGCAGCATTATCCCTCGAGGACACGATTACCGACGTGACGTCATCCCGCCTTAGTTTCCCTGTAACTTGATATTCTCTCCCGTTGTTCTCATCAACAAATCGTTCACTATGGGAAATCATGTACATGTTCACTGTAGGTACACTTTGTACGTCTCGAGCAAGTTGGAAAAAAAGGTATGACAAGAAATAAATTCGAATATTATGTTATGTGAATAAATGACTGTTGATTAATCAAAATGATACGTGACTACGCTGATCCTGTAACTAAGACATACACACCCAAGTGTGTGACGAAAAGAGAAGCACTGACATTTATATAAATGAATTATCCGTCTAACAACAAGTAAAGTCTGTTCTGGAGCTGAATACATAAAATAAATTGTTAGGCGACGCTCACTTTTTCATACATCCTCATTGGCTGGATCATAATCACGTGGAGGTCGGTGTTTTGTGATATTGTCTCGGTCTTACTATTTTTTAAACAGCAGGTCAATATTCACTTTATGACGTCATTTCAGCTGCTACGTCACAGTGCTCTCTGCCAAATGCAGTATATTTCTCCTGACATTTTTCATACTTCTATCTTGTTTAATGATTTGAACATTATTAAGCATCTGATACAAAAATTGAGGACTTCTCATTCGGTGAATATAAAATTCCATTATAGATGAAAATGTCTTTTAAGAAGTTCGAGAATGCTACGACATAACTAATAACCCATGTAGTTCGGAGACAGCCACTAGGCGTTTTGTTCCTGCGATATAATAAGGATATGACTTAGCGATTTCCTTTCCCGAGCCCCTTAATCCTACTAAATGCAATGTAACGTGGTATTCTATGGACACACAAATCGATCATCAGTCCCCGGGAACACTTCGGAAAGTTTCTCCTGCAGACCCTCGTGTTGATAAATCAGTTGTTTCTCTTTCTGACGTCATTTCCGGTAATGTGATTTTCAATACTTGTTCCGGACGAGTTGATATTTCTGTTTCGGTGGGTTTGTTTGTTTTCACCTCTTTATGGTTTTGTATTTCCGTCTGTGAAGTTTTATTATCAGTTTGTGTGTCTTGTTCGGCTTGTTTAACTGCCTGGTGTTTAAGAAAATGCTCATTAGCTAATTGTTCAGGAGCAGGAAATTCTATTCCTAATTGTGCAAGCAGAGATATTTGCATCTCTATTCGGCACATCCCACATTCACAATTCTTGTCATAGTTGGCCGCTGTGATTCCTTGCGCACCTGGTACGAGCATCTGGATACCAGGCGTGCGCAGGTAAAACTTCCGGTCGTGCAGTTTTGACTGACTTGTCAGTGTAAGATATGAGCTTGGATCATCCATGACGTCATGATGTGGTGACGCATGTCGGCGATCATGACGCGGGTTCTCGTCTAAATAGATTTTCCTCACGCGTGGTGACAGGTCTCTGGTGTCTGAAGTATTTCTCCAAGACCGCGGACTCTTAGTGTACCTCGACAGGTCATCCATGGAAATTTGGTCCTCATCATCGCTAGAATAGTAATCTAAAATATGTCCAACTTTTTTGTTATAGTTAACCCTTTCGCGTTGAATCAGTCGATCCTGGCTTGACGATTTTCGACCGTGAGTTTTCGCTGTATTTACTAGATAGCGCGGCTTGTTAAGATATTCGCGCCGAATACTGGCAAGAAAACCTCCCTTCTCTGTTGAAGCGGCACCATTGACTTTCATCAAGTCAGTTCTGTTCTGACGTGATTTCCGGAAGAACACTACTTTACCGTTGTCTATATATATAGTCCCTTCGCCTGTTTCCCGTACTACAAACTTTCTAGGCTGGATTTCTTTATGGGAAAATCCCGAGGCCCCAGATGAGGAACGATCATCATCTAGGCCAATCAATTCTGCAGTCAAATCTATCTTTGATGAGATTTCTCCTGGTGTACTCTCTTGCTTCAAACTCCCGGAAGTGTCTCGACTTTGTTGGCGAGATATCGATCCTGGTCTGGAACTATAATATAGCTCAGAACCTCTCGGGCTGTCGAGTGGAGCTGTTTTAGCCCTTTGTCGAGTCGGACGCGTGGTTGTGGACGGATTCGCAGCAAATTTTATTTTCGCCGAATTTACTCTGTTTTGAGTTTTTATATGGTCAATATAGCCTGATTTTCGACCTGGAAATAACGGTCTTCGCGTGTTTGGAGGATTGTTGGTTCGAGTTTCCCCTTGGCGTGGACTTCCAGCAAGATATGCCCTCGGAGACGGTCGTGCATTAGTGTCGCCCTGAGACCTTGGTGACGTCATAGGCCTTGGCGTTCTTGGCGTGCGTGGTCGGTCGTCTATGTAAACTTCCTGTTCCTCTGAATCCTGTGGACTGCGTGTCGTCAGCTGGTATCTTGGGGGCATTTTCTGCCATAACGACCAGGCAGTCATGTCTGTAAATAAAATACCATAGCATTATTTCTTCAATTTTAAAACTCTAACATATGTAGAAGTGGGTTTAAAGGTTAATTCGTGGCTCGTTAAGGAAACTCCCTAGCTAGGGGTTTCCTGAGGTTAATAAAACCCCTTTAGATCATCTAGTGCTCTATGGATTGTAACCTATGAAAACCCTGTACCGTACGATGGACATTCAAATAGCATTCATGTAGAACATATCCTTCTCACAATTAATGAAAATCCCTAGCCTCTGAAAAGGAATACATGACATCACTTAATACATCGTGTTGTGTCTTTATTGTGATATATCGTGCTGTGTATGTATTGTGATTTATTAAAGTTTTGCCAGTGAAATATCGAATTCTATCAACTTGGTTAAAATGATCTCTACAAAATCGAAAATTAAATTTGTCGCGGTGTGAATGTATCACTGTTGGTATTGACCAATCAGAACGGCACTTTCTATTCACTTCATTTAAAGCCGCATATTTTTTGCAGCAGACGCAGTAGAATAAGTTGTTTTTTTGGTACATCTTAGCTACGTACACTAAGATATGTATCTAACTACACAATGATATCATTTGTAACTAAGTCTTACTAGCTAAAAGCAAAAAACGGTAGGACTGTGATAACTGATTACATCTCCAACTGTTTTGCGCATACAATAACATGTTTCGTTGTTGTAGGTAGTATTTAAAGATAAAAGATTTAAAAAAACATGATTTTCCGGTTGAATATCACATATATGTCACTGGTATGGCTGGATATACCGATATTTCTAATCGTGCTTCGTACTCGTGAAATATATCGGTATTCTGCCATACTCGTGAAATAAACTATACTCAACGGGAAACCAACTAAACATCCTCTCTACCGTGCTGTCCATTTATCATGGTTTGTTTTATTGTGCTCTGCATTGTTGTGATATACCATGCGGTGCATGTACATCTACTGTGATGTACGTGCGATGTTGATGTTTCGGTATGTCGTGATTTCGATTCACTGCGATATACATGTACATGTACATTGCTGCGTAATATATCAAAACATGCTGTGCATGTATTGATATATACCGTGTTGTGTATGAATTGTGATATATCGTGCTGTGCATGTATTGATATATACCGTGTTGTATATGAATTGTGATATATCGTGGTGTGCATGTATTGATATAAACCGTGTTGTATATGAATTGTGATATATCGTGCTGTGCATGTATAGATATATACCGTGTTGTATATGAATTGTGATATATCGTGCTATGCATGTATTGATATATACCGTGTTGTATATGAATTGAGATATATCGTGCAAAGTATGTATTGATATATACCGTGTTGTATATGAATTGTGATATATCGTGCAAAGTATGTATTGATATATACCGTGTTGTATATGAATTGTGATATATTGTGTTATGCATGTATTGATATATACCGTGTTGTATATAAATTGTGATAAATCGAGTTATGCATGTATTGATATAAAACGTGTTGTATATGAATTGTGATATATCGTTCTATGCATGTATTGATATATACCTTGTTGTATATGAATTGTGATATATCGTGCTATGCATGTATTGATATATACCGCGTTGTATATGAATTGTGACATATCGTTCTATGCATGTATTGATATATACCTTGTTGTATATGAATTGTGATATATCGTGCTATGCATGTATTGATATATACCGCGTTGTATATGAATTGTGATATATCGTGCTATGCATGTATTGATATATACCGCGTTGTATATGAATTGTGATATATCGTGCTATGCATGTATTGATATATACCGCGTTGTATATGAATTGTGATATATCGTGCTATGCATGTATTGATATATACCGCGTTGTATATGAATTGTGATATATCGTGCTATGCATGTATTGATATATACCGCGTTGTATATGAATTGTGATATATCGTGCTATGCATGTATTGATATATACCGCGTTGTATATGAATTGTGATATATCGTGCTATGCATGTATTGATATATACCGCGTTGTATATGAATTGTGATATATCGTGCTATGCATGTATTGATATATACCGCGTTGTATATGAATTGTGATATATCGTGCTATGCATGTATTGATATATACCGCGTTGTATATGAATTGTGATATATCGTGCTATGCATGTATTGATATATACCGCGTTGTATATGAATTGTGATATATCGTGCTATGCATGTATTGATATATACCGCGTTGTATATGAATTGTGATATATCGTGCTATGCATGTATTGATATATACCGCGTTGTATATGAATTGTGATATATCGTGCTATGCATGTATTGATATATACCGCGTTGTATATGAATTGTGATATATCGTGCAAAGCATGTATTGATATATTATTAGTTATACAGGTCTTTGGCAAGGTACATGGTCTCATGTTCGCTGTCAGGACCTTATGTACCCTGAGCTGAAGGCGAAGGGTACATAAGGTCCTGACAGCGAACATGAGACCATGTACCCTGCCAAAGACCTGTATAACGAGTTGGTCATAATTGCAAAACCATTGAAAACAGATACTGTGTAGGGAGGTAGTAGACGGGAAAACAGATTTTTTTTTGGTATTATTTCAACAATTTAATAAATTTTTGAATTGTAATAAGTTAACAATATGGTTTTGAAACAACATTAAACAACAACTCAGTTCCTTATTAACTCGTAACGATTGATTTTTGAAAAACGTTTCGCCATATTGTTGATTGTTGACATTAGCAGACGAACGTTCTCCGGTGTGTTCGATTCGAATCTTCGAGTTATCTCCCTTACAACAGGCGTGCGTGCTCTTATGTACCCTGGCAAGGATACTAACATAGCTTCAGGTACCTTGGCAATTCGACCAATCACCGTGCGACATTTTTCTTTGCAGTATGACAAAATGTGTTGTATATGAATTGTGATATATCGTGCTGTGTATGTATTGATATATACCGTGTTGTATATGAATTGTGATATATCGTGCTATGCATGTATTGATATATACCGCGTTGTTTATGAATTGTGATATATCGTGCTATGCATGTATTGATATATACCGCGTTGTATATGAATTGTGATATATCGTGCTATGCATGCATTTTTGTATATCGTGCTGCGTACTATTAATATTGCTTTATACCGAGTTGTGTATGGTTGTGATATATCGTGCTCTGTATAAGTCTGATATATATATATAATATTTAAGTCTAATTAATACATTATTGTTAAGAAGACCTCTAAGTTAAATATATATCTCTGATCAAACTTAACGTCCGTGATGTCCGTCCAGTGTGGTATCAGATCTATAACGACGAGGTTACTCGCTGAATTACATTTCTAAATATAACATGACGTACCGGCAATTCGTCTACAACAAATATTGGATGTTTGTCCCTAATTGGTAGCATTAATGCTTCAATGGCAATGAAAATATCCTAATATTTGTTCAAATCCTTTCAGAAAATGTAACTGATCTTTCTGTGTATAATTTATCATTTAAATATGCATGGATATACTTGCTATTCAAACAAGTGTTTGGTTAGAGAATCTAACACTTTGGCGATAAATTATTCAACGTTAATAAACACATAATGTAAGTTTACTATTGAAACGAAAAGCAAATATTGAATATAGAAAGGGAGACTACTGCTGTGATGACAGCATCATAACGACGCGAGTCAGTTTGTAACTACTTGAAATACATGTATTCAATGTTTTCGCCCCTCCACACACACCACTCCTGGACACAGTAGCGTTTGCCAACTGCAGTTTCCCCCCTCTGGGTGGCGCTTGTACTATACAATGTAGTTGGTAAAGTATAGCGGATATTTCTCACTGTGAGAACACGAGAGCGGACTGTCATACAAAAGTGCGGATACACGTCACTTAACAGTATACATACGGTGTGGAATGTTTACTCTGTTATAAAACAATAGGTGTGTGTCCTCTGTGTCAATATAGTAATAATAGACCGACAGCCTTCACACGACCCATTCACCTCCCGACACGTACAAAGTCAACAGTGCTGGGGAACAGTACAAAAGAGCACAGGGGGAACCACGTGGCTACACAACAGTAAAACTACTACTACAGCTATATACATAGAAATCACGATATGCTCAGCATTCTTCGTTTTACCACGGACTTAGATAACATTCTAATTCCGTGGTTTTACTTTCAATTTTGCTCCATGCGCTCAGTACTCGTAATTTGTAAAATCAATATCAATGCTCAAGTAAAACTGATGTCACTTAAACTAATCTGATGTTGTTTGGTGACATGGTATAGCTTTCAAAATAATTGTAAAAATGCCAAACACCAAAACAAAAGGGAAGACAACACGAGGTTCCAGATACCAGGGAGTCAAAAACGTATCAGCAACTATAGTGTTGGGTGAGTTCAGTACACCACGTGATATATTTTCAGCTGCTGATTGGATACTGTAGTTAAAAGTGAAATGTGTCCTCTCTTCGATAGTGTCACTTTTACTACATTTCGCCGCCAGGTGTGCTCTCATCTGTCATCAATTAAATGACCACTTGTTAAGTTATGGATATTATACTAAAACCAGTATTTCCTTCGGCTGAGAGTTCGATGGAGGTCTGTCTCCTGTGGTTTAGGCATAATGTTTTGCTCTCAACAGGAAACATAACAATATTTATAAACTGTATTTGATATACAACAATTATAAAACAAGATATTCTAACTTTGTATTAACCAATATTGTTGGCCCGGATGATAGCGGGGAGTGTTGTCTTAATGAGGGAGGAAACCGGAGTACCTGGAGAAAACACATGTGCTCGGGCAGGTGGCCCAATACCTTTCACCTCCGATCGGGAAATCGAACCCCGGCCGCCTTGGTTATGGGCAAGTGCGCTATCCACTGTGCCACCCGACTACCGCTCAGAACAATTAAATAGGTGAATATTGTATGGATTATATTTTGTCGAAGTCTCCACTTTTCAGAAAATTACCTGCACCTAATTACTG